AAAATACTTGAATTTTGTTCAAGGATCACATGCTCTAAGAACAGCTTTACCATTTTGGAAAAGATACTGCTACTTTAAAGAGTTAAGACACAGGTACTACATCTGTGCTCTACATGCTCTAAAGCAGGGGTGTCAAACTACCGGCCCGCGAGCCAGATGTGTCACGCTAAAACTGTGCCTATCCCATTGCCGGCAATGAGGAAAAAATTGCGATAGGGAAAAATTGTGATATGTTGTAACACATCACATGACATTGAGAGTTTGACACCCATGCTCTAAAGAACATTTTTTTGGATTTTTTTTGTATCTGAAGCACTGCATAGCTTTACATTGAAAGAGGCAATATTGGAACACACAGGAACAAAAATATTCAGCTCAAGATGAACAGATTATAACATCTCAAATTTATAACCATTTTAATCAAGGTCAAAGTTGTTTAAAGCTTTAGCTGATCAATTTATGAACAAAAATAGTATAATGGAGGGTTTAAACATATGTACACTCATATATATAGCTGTATAGAACAGTGGTTCTCAACCTTTTTAATGCCGCGACCCCAACCGGTCGTCCAACCGGTCGTAAGGCAAGGACTACCCAACCGGTCGTAAGTCAAGGACTACCCAACCGGTTGTAAGTCAAGGACTTTCCCTGTCTGGGAGCGCCGCGCATGCGTGGTGCTGCCCCCTGTGCCGGCTGAGGCATAGCTGGCAAGGGGCAGCGATGGCACAGGGCAACCACTGGCTGGGCCACCAGCTGGCCCAGCCCAAGGGAGATAAGGCACCCGCCGGGCCCCATGCGTGCCAGCAACCCTCCCTGCACCCACCGGCCTCCCACCTCTGGCCCTCTTTTACTTACATTTTTAGTAGTTGCTCAGCAGGGAGGGGTGGAAGCTTCCAGACAGCTTGCTTTCGCTGCAGACAACTTGCAGCACCGTTTGCAGACTGGGGCTTTTGGCGGGCTCAGCAGGGCAGAGACAGCCTGGACAATTCCTATTGGCTTTTGAAAGCCAATAGAATTAGACTCTATTCAAGAGAGTCTATTGTATTGGCTTTCAAAAGCCAATAGAATAAAAGGGAGTAGCACAGCTAAGGGAAAGGGGGAAAAAATGGCGGACTGCGTTGTTCGGCGACCCCCGTGAAATGGTCGTTCGACCCCAAATGGGGTCGCGATCCACAGGTTGAGAAACACTGGTATAGAATAATACATTGTTTCATACAGTATTGTAATTGTTTGCTTTCCTCATATCCTAATCACTTCAGGATGATATTCATTCTTGCACCCCAACTAAAAATTAGTATAGAATACAGCCCTGAGATTTGAAGCTCATTAGATTATTTGTTTTAGCAAACTATGTAAATAGTTCTTTTCTATATCATTTCTTTGACGGAATATTCAAGTAACATGTATACTAGGTGCAGGCTGCTCAATTGGTTATCCCACTTTAATTTTGTGCAGATGGGTCAAATTTAAATGAGTATCAAACGTATGCAAATCAGCAGTGATTGTTGTTTTTTTTCCCCAGACCTTGGTGCTATAGAATACAAATGATTACCGGTAGTCAATTCTTAAAAAAGTATTTCATAAGGTAAGGTATATAAATAAATATGTGAAGTCCAAACTTTCCACTGTGATTCACCAAACTGCATGCTTTGAAGTCATACTTGTCTGCCCTATTCCTGGAATATGTATTATTCAGCATTAGTTGGAAAAATGAGGAAACCAACTAGACAAGAAAGCTGAATTGGAAAAAGTGAGCTAAAATGTCTCATGAAGTAGCAAACTAAGTTATTGCAAAGAATTCCTAGTCTAGTTTTTTTCAAAATTACCTTGTCCTTGTCGTTAACAAAAAAGCATATTTTCTTCTGCATATCAGTTGAGAAAAACAATTCTAGCAGTTTATGAAAGTCAACCCTCCTTTGAAGGAACATTATTTTAGGATCTAATATTCATTAACAATCTCACATTGTCAAGACACCAAGTGATAGAACATCTGATAATTCCTCAAAGGTTCTCCTTATTTATCTGTACAAACTTTTTTTTGTGAGACTACAAAATATGTGTACTGATGACTATAATAAATTTTGATTGATTTTGTACTGATGTCAAAGCAAAATAAATCAGCAAACACAGGGGATTACATGAAAATCTACAGAGTTTGAGACAGAGAAGGAAAATCTTATATTAGAATTATTCAAAAATATTTATTTAACCAAGTTGTGAATCTTGAATGAAATTGAATATTTTTAAATTCTGATTTGCTATAAATAAGCTATGTACTAATTTTAACTGAAGATAAGGAACACATCAAATATCATAGCCAATTGACTTGCAAACTATGAAACTGGACAACATCCTTCCCCTAGACCAGATGCCTTTCCTGTTGAGTAGTATAGAACTGTTGGTGCATACAGTGTTGGATATCTATAGATAATCATAGTTTAGCAACTACCTTGTTTAGCAACCATTCAGTTATGATGATAATGAAAAAATAACTTTATGACCAATCCTCATTTTTATGACATTTGCAAGGTCTATAAAAGCAAAGGAAAGCTTTTGAAGTAAGATCATACGCTTAGTCAGTTTTGCTCACTGATCATGTTAAAGACTGAGTTGACAGTCCCAACTGTGTTTGCTAAACAAATGTTAAAGCTGTCGTGATGCTTCACACTGAATATTTGTTCATATATACAGTATCTTAGACAATCCTTAACAATTATGTGAAGTCATTAGCCAAGCTTGTTTGTGTTATACAGTAAAATAGTTTATTTTCTGGCTATACATTAAGTCTAATTTCCTTTGGGGTGTACTATATCTACAGATTATTGTAGGAGATTAAGAATTATAATTTGTATAGTTCCTATAACATGCTTGTTTATCATAGTATGGTGAATTAAGTATGTCTAAATGAATAGATGTAATTTCACTGGATATAACTCAGTGGACAAAACTCTCATTCAATCTTAGGGATATAATTATTAAAATGAGTACATCGAGATTAATGTATATCACAATAGGTATTCCAGTGTTAACTCGCATCAGATAGTTAAAAAAAATAATGTGAATTTTTAATAGCAGTTTAGAATTTATTTAAACTGCAGAGCACATTAACTAATAGGCAAGAAAAGCAAGAAGAAAATTCACAGCTTAATGCAGGTAGTTCCCATTTAATGACAATTCATTTAATGACCAAAATTACAATGGTGCTGAACGAAGGGATTTAAAACCTGTGTCCAACCTGTGCTTGTCAGCCTACCTGCACTTATGACTAGTTGCAGAGTTGCTGCAGCCCCCAGACCTGTCTATTCCACCCCCCCATCTGTGCCTTGAAACACCAGGGAAGTTCCAATTGGCAGTATGAAGCAGCCAAGGCTCCCACTTATGAAGGGCTGAACATCCAGGAAAACATCCGCCTATGGGGAATTTCCAAACATCTGAGGGACACCAAGGGTATACTGGGTTGCGAAGCATCTATTTCCCCATGAAGTGCCAAATGCCTGGGACGTGCCAGTACAACCACCCTCACCACCCTGCATTCCACATACAAGATGACCTTCACCTTGGAGGTGAAGGTGAAAAGAAAAAGAAAGAACTGGCCTCACTTTCTAAAGCAGGGGTGTCAAATATGCGTCATGGCGAAACCGCACCCATCCCGTTGCCGGCAATGGAAAAAAAGTCATATGTCACGACACGTCATGTGACATTGTGAGTTTGGCACCCCTGTTCTAAAGGCTCTGCAAAGAGCACAGCTCTCCTGAACAGAGCACCCTCAATTCTAACAGAAAACAATTGGCTACCTTTAACATTTCTTTTCTTTCTTCTTCACAAAGGGCCGGGCTGGGCGCACCTCATAAGCTCAATGTTTTTATGCAGAAATTTTGGCTTGTCTTTCGTGGGTTCAAACCATCAAGCCCACATTCCTAGAGGAGACTGAAGCAGATTTGTGCCAGGCCCCCCAGGGACTCCCCTACCTTGTGTCACCATACACTCTGCTTAACGGACCAGTGCGGCTGATTAATGATGGTGCCTGGGAAAGCCAGGATACGATCATAAAATTGAGCCAGGTCACATGGTGACCAGTTTAATGACAATGACTCATGACCAAAATTCCAGGTTCAATTGTGGTTGTAAGTCAGTAATATATAAAATATTTCACATTTTATAGATTTTTTTAAAAAATAGATATTAAAAGTTTTTGCTATTATTTTAATTGCCTTCCAATCAGAATATAGAACTATTTTAAATTAAATTGCTTTGAAAACATTGATTAAAGTGAAGAGAGAAAGTTTTATTATACATGTAGTATAATTTAGACAATAGTAATCAGAAGTTCTAACTGTATAGGATGACAGTCTTAGCTACGTAAAACAACAACATAAAAATATTGCAGCTATTTATAAATGCATATTGTATTTTGAAGGCATCCCTAGTCTTAATCCTAGTCTTTGGCCAGCACAAATAACTGTAATGACTGCTAATTACTATTATGAATGATCCATTTTAATTTTGTCTGTTTTTTAGATGGCACATGGAACATCACAGGTGGACGAGAATGATAAAATGATGAAAATGGAGAATGTGACTTCTTGCTTAATTGATTTTCTATTTTTGCATTGTCTACTTGAGTTCTTTAAATATGCCTTCAATATTTAATTTCTTTTGAAATTGATACAAAGGAAAACACGAAGTATTTAAAAGTTTAAAAAAACCGCCTGATAAAAATGCACACCATGAAATTAGGAGAAATGATGCAAGGTTACCAAGGCAGAAATCACACCTACTTCAATGAAGTAAGTAAAAGACAGGTTTGAGATAGATAGATAGATAGATAGATAGATAGATAGATAGATAGATAGATAGATAGATAGATAGATTACAAGGGGATTATAGCCTGTTTTAGTTATTACTATAGAGATAAATTACTTCTTGGTATACAGTATATAAGAACCCCAAGGCATCAAGTAAATACCATTTCATAAAAAAGGAAAAAGCACTGTACTCACTTATTAAAAAGGTTCAGTCCAATTCTATAATGACGTTTCCTGATGATATCATTACTGAAGGCAGGGGAATCCCAACTATTACGAGTTTCTTTGTGGTATGTTTGCTTGCTCAAAGTTTGTTCCCTTAAGCTGTCTCGAGAAGATGATTCTGAACTGCAATTTATTGTGTCATTAGAATTGGAAGTGCTGTTGATGCTATCATTATCTCCATCAGAATAATCAGATTCAGATTTGCTTTGCCTGTTTGCTGTACCATTAATAGCCAAGTGGCTGTCAATAGGCCTAGGTCTATGCCTAGTTTCTGGATCTTCTCGGGATATTACTTTGCTAGGGAGGCCATGTGATATGTGCTTTGGGCTACCTTGCTGACTACTAATTCCCCGATCATATGCATTTTGTCTCTTCAGTGATCCTCTTTCAGAACGGTCACTTAAATCAACTGAACTGTCACTTGGTGGTTCTATGGTTAGCAAAGGAAGATGATCCATCCTCATTCTCTGTTCTTGGGATTCCAATGAAGGGGTACTCCTACAACTTGTGTCAGTGTCTATTTTATGGTCTTTATGTGTCATAGACCAGTATTCTTGAGAAGGGTTTATTGATCTAAGTCTCAAGTCAGACTCTGTGCTCGATGGTCTTTCTACAGGATGAGTAAGGGGAAGTGGTGGGGATAACTCTTCCTCATCAATATATAACGTAACATCACTATAGGAAGCAGTCATTTCATCAAGTTTCCTATGATCAACATTATGGCTTGCTGATTTAGTTGGACCACAACTATCTCTTTCTATTTCACGACTTCTGACTTGGTCAGGTATCTGTACCTCATCAGAGTGTAAACTACGACAGTTTAATGCATCATCAATGGATTCTGCAAGAGATTTTACTTGTCTTGAAAAAGCATCCTCCAATTCTGTTATGGCATCAGCAAAGTCTGTGGAAGCTGCTGGAGATTTCATTGTAGTCGATTCAGCAAGATCATTACATCCAGACTGGACAAGGGCTCCTATTTTTGATCCATCATTTGTAACAGAAACTTGCTTCCCCTCAAAGTAGGAACTGTGAACTTTCTCAGGTCCTTCAAATGAAAACTGCATTCTCATATTGGATAGTACAATGCGTCTTGACATACGATTTTCAGACATAGAACTTCTAAGCCGCTCAAAGTTTTTGTTCATCTGATACTGGCGGAAAGCAGTCTGTATAGTACGAGCAGCATGTCTAGTTATGAGACGGCCTCCATATTTTCGTTCTAGCATTTCAACCTAAAAAGAAAATGTATTTTGTAATATGTAATCTCTAAAGCATGGGTTTCAAACTCAAATCATCATAAGGGCTGTATGAGGAGGAGTTCATTAACCTGAGAACTGCAACAGAGAAACCCTTTCATATATAATACAAAAGTCTTATGAGTCAGAAAGGGAGGGAATCATTATATAGGCCATTACCCACAAACTTATTAAATAAAAAGCTTCACTATGAAATCTTTTTTTTTCACCATCTCACTTTGGCCATCTACATGGCATTGCTTTTTAAATAACCAGATCACCATTATTTCATGAATGACAACATAAATTCTCTGATCTGAATCCTATCATCTGAAACCTGAATGTAATCCCCTTAAGAAGAAGCAACTACGCCTGAAAATCATTTCCAATTCTGCCAAGAAACAGATATTGGCAGTTGTCTGATGAAAAAAATGTTTTGTTTTCAATTTGGTATGTGTCACTCTTTCCTGAGGTTATAATTCCTGCAATTGTAGCTTATTTTCTGATTATTTTTAATGAGAATGCAGGCTAAAAAATGATCAAATGCATTCTGTCACAGAAAAAAAAAAAAGAAAACCAATTGCTATTTGGTATTCTCCACTTATAATTACTTGGAAAGCAGGAACTTTTGAGGTTCCCAATCAGTTCAGCCTATGGTGCTTCTCCCTCATAAGGCTGTTGCAGATGGAAAATAGTGACCTTGAAATATAAAGAGACTTTTGGGGTAACTTGCACTTTCCACGAAGAAATAGTACCAGGAAGGCTATATACCAGTGCTATATATATGTGGCTAGTTCCTTGGAGCAATGGTGAGGAATATTTTGGAAGCTGAAGAGATGGTATCTGATTCTTCCCTGCATCTCCAAATGGCAGAGTGCTGTGGCAGAGCCCATACCAGAAGCCCATACTTGTTCCTGCGGCTTGACCAGGGATGATGATGGTTCATCCTCCTATTGTTAGGAGCTCCCTTCCTGGCCAAATCGCTGAGGGATAGGACACTACTTTTGTTTTTCCCTCTGCCTTCCTTTCCCAAAGCAAGCATTGTCTTACAACTTAACAGCCATAGCATACAAGTTCTAAGTAACAGTGATTATTGTTTTCCCTCTGTTTTCCACCTAAGATGAGCAATACTGCTGAAAAGACTTTAAAAGCAATGGAAAGCAAAGAGATCCTGGCTTTTTCTCCTCTCCTTTTCAGCAGTGCAACAACTCCTTGTTACTAGCAGTATTTCCCTCCTGGAAGCTATTCGGCAACCATGTTCGCCAAGGAGCTAGGGAACAGCTCGGTAGGTGAAGTAGCTGGAGTCACTCAGGTCTTCCTTATGCACTACAGTCATTAGTTGTGTTATGAGAGAAAGTTCAGAAAACAGAGAAGGGGGGGGGGGAAGCAATGATATGGCATCTTTTGGCAAACTCCAGAGAAACTGGCCAGGACGACAGGTGCTTCCAGCACAGGGAGGGCAAAATACCAATTGTCAGGAATAAAGATGCTTTCTTAGTGCTACTCTGCCAGCTGTAAACTGGGAGGTTCCAAGTCAAAACTATTACAATACCTCGATGTTGTTTGAAGTTACAACAGCACTGAAAAAAAGTGACTTATGACTGATCTTTGGACTTATGACCATCATAGTTTCCCTATAGTCACGTTATTAGAATTTGGGCAATGGAAACCAGCACGACTTTATGATGGTTACAACATCTTGGGGTCACATGATTGCCATTTTCAACCTTCCCAGCTGGCTTCCAATAAGCAAAGTGAACAAGAAAAGCCAGAATTTGATTAACAAACATGTTATTCATTTAACAACTGCAGCGATTTGCTTAGCAACTGGGGCAAAAAGCACGACTCACGTTAACAATCACCTTGCTTAGCCACAGATATTTAGGTTATAATTGTGGTTGCAAATCAAGAACTATCTATACACAATTCTAGAGGCTCATGAAAAAAAAAATCTCAAGAAATCTGATAATTAGCACATTTCTTTTTTTAGTTTGATTAATACAGCAGTACAGCTCAAATACCTGTTTATCCTGCAAGTCAGATGAGAGTTCATAGCTTTCTGAAAGGGACCGTGACCTTTTAATAGCTTCTTCTTCTGCTTGTTTTCTTAATATGGATGTTGAGTGCTGAAGCTTTGGCCTCCGGGGCCTTTGCTGTCCAGGGGAGACAGAATATAGACCATATGGAGAATGGTCATAATGATCTGGACTTAGAGCTGAACTGTGAGTTATAGTTCCTTGATGATAAGCAGATGAACTATCCAGGGATGCGCCAGTTTCATTTCCAGGAGCTTCACCCTCAACACTGAAAAAAAAAAAAAAGAGAGAGTAAAACGCATCATGGTTAAGATGTATAGTATAGTATAGCTTTTTACTGCTGCAACTCCATATATAATAAATGCTGGCTAATTAGTTTGACTGATTGATTTCTATATATGCCCATCTTAGCAAACGATTCTGGGCAGCTCACAATTAAACTATTAATTATGAACTATTAATCATGTCTAAAATATTCACTTTCAGATACACATTTTATGAAGCTAGAAATGATCATGTTTGCAAATTTCTGGCACTTTTTCCTCAAATATTTGGTTTGCTTGTAATGTAATACAATGCAACATAGATAAAATGCAGATTTAGACATTTCAAACATTACTACCATTTCCTTGGCAACTCTAAACTTTGCTTCATGTAATTTTTAAAAGAAATCTCTAAAAATATCTATGTGATATATGTATATTATGTATACATGTAGCAATAAAAGCAGTAAACTAATCAATCATTTCTGGAATTAGCTTAATGAAACTATGGGAACCAGTATCCAGTAATATAAGAGAACAAAGTTGTACCCATTGCAAGCCTAGAAAAAATTCAGCTTTCCCCATAAAACACAATAAACGGTCCATCAGGTTTTGCAGATCTGACACCAGAACATTTATTATGCAATAAATTATTTGTAGATACCAATATGTTATGAGATTTGGGATTTCTCATGAAAGATCAAGCATGATTTTAATAATCAGTGTTGAGGTTTCAATAAATGTTGCAGGAGAAGTGAAATACTCCAACTCATGAAATAATATAATGAATTATACATTACAGAAACATGAATATTGCACAGGTTTCAAACTAATTATCTCATTTTTACTTTAATTAATTCTCCGTTCCACTTTTATTTTCAGTCTTACCGTTACAACTTTATAAAGTAAAAATAAGTATTCAAGTTGCTTCTTTCTTGCCAAAATATAAATAGTTCATAATGGTTCTAAAGTGCTTTATCAACAGGATTTAGAAACATGCCAAACCCACAAGAAAAACAAGTTCCTGCCAAATCTCTGTGGAGATGAATGAAGGATCACAGTAGCCAGCAAGAATAGAATTTATTTATTTAGTTATTCAATTTGTATAGCTACCCCTCTCACATATGTGATTCTGGGTAGCTCACAATGACTGAAAAAAAAAGAGAATAAAAATATAAAATAATGTATAAAAACTTAAAAAAACAAGCATAACACCACATTAAAACCCCAATTAAAAACTAAAAACATAATCACAGTGAGCAAACAATACATCTCACGCACTATAACCACTGAAAATTCTCATGACTATCCTTGGACTCCACAAGCCTGGTGATGTAAGTCAGATCATCAGGCCCTTCTTAAAGAGCCCAGAAAGGCAGGACTCAATCTAAGTTCAAGGGGAATGAGGCTTCAAAGGACAGGTGCCATAGCAGGAACGGGCTTTCTTCCTGGGTCCCAAATGATGACATTCCTTAGCAGATGGGACCAGTAATATGCCTCTCTTGCCAGATCTGAATCCCATAAGCCACTGACCAAAGACCAGTAGTATATGAAGTGGGTTAATGTGGACCCTTGATTCTTATACAAGTTATAGCAATTTGGTAAACAAGCAGTCTTGAAAGACATTATAATCAATAGAACACGGGTGTCAAACTCGCCGTATCACATGACGTGGCGCAACATATCACAACTTTTTTTGCATTGCTGGAGCTGGGGTGGGCGTGGCATCCATATGATGCAACCGGCCCGTGGCTCAGTTATATTTGCAATGGTTGTATCTTTGGAAAACCCTGCACTCTGCAAACAAACTATGGAAGAAAAAGCAAAATCTTCTAAATTCTTTATGTGCCAACATGTCTTGCTTACTAAAATGGGTTATACTATTCTTAATGTGATACTACTAATTAAAAACATGCTCAATCATTTAAATTTTACCCATGCAAGGTAAAAAATATTTTGAAAGAAAAATTGAACAAGGATCAAGAATATTCCTAAGCTCTTCCGGTGGTTCCAGCGATGACGATGGCGGCGTTTTACAAAGCCGCCCGTTCCTGGTCCGTGTAAACGCCGCGGGACTTTGACAATCAGCTGTCCCGTGGCTTGAATCTCCTCCCTGGGAAAAAGGAAATACCTCCAAAAATTTTAAGAGCCAGAAAAGATTTTACTTTTTTGTCTGATGAGCTAAAACATCGTCAAATTCAGTTCAGATGGGAGATTCCAAGAGGAATAATAGTAAATTATGAGGGGATACGTCACAGATTAACTACTGTCTCTAAGGCAAGAGATTTTTATCAGTCTATTTTAAAAGCAAGATCGTCATCACCCCCACAAATAAGGATAATGGAAGAGTCTCTTGTGGCAGGAGCTTCATCAATGATGGTTATGGAACAAGCTGCACAGAATTTTGACATAAAAGAGCAAAGGATGACACGAGCCACCCATAAACATAAAGAAAAAGAGCAGTTGCAGAAGAGTGGTGATAAAGTTGAAAGTATGGTTACTACAGAGCCTGTGGGAGGGGCAAGACCAAAAAGATCCACACCCGGTCCCTTTAGCTTCCCCCCAGCCAGGCCATTCCTTGCTCCATTTCACTTCCCTCCTGAGCCAGACTGCCATGCTATTGTACAGAGGATGGGCAAGGTAGGCCTGATCGCCCTCCGCCATTTCAGAGGCAGGGGGGAGTGATGGCGAAAGACTCTGCTGCTGCTGTGTGCCACTGGAGGGGCTTTCTTCATACACTGCCCACAGATCACCTGCCCGGTGGCAGACACCTGCCGCCTCCTCCTCCTCCACCAATTCTCCCGTAGCTTGTGCCATCCATCACTGCTGAAACAGAGTTTGTGAGACTAAAAAACTGAACTGTTTTTAGTCTCACGAACTCCATTTCCCTACAGCAGGAGAGAAATGTGCAAGAGCTGGAAAGTAGGTTAGTGTTGATTGTTTTTGCTTTGGGGAAGAGGGAGGAGCTGGGAGATGTTGCTCCAAGCTTTATAGCAGTGCCAGGAGGAAAAGCGGCATGAAATGGGGCTGCCATTTTGAGAATGGAGAAAGTAGATGCAGGGCAATGCAGGGCAGGAGCAAGTGCTCTTCTCTGCTCTGCATCGCTGCACAGAGACATTCTGCTTCCCATTCTCCATTCTCTCCAATGGTGGTAAGGGAGGGCTGGCAGAGGGAGGTGGTGGGGGAGCTTTGTGCTGCCCAGTCATGGCGCAAGCCACGGGAGAGTTGGCAGAGGAGGCGGCAGCAGGTAGCTGCCGCTGGACAGGTGATCTGTGGGGTGGAGCATGAAGAAAGCCCCTCCAGTGGCACACAGTGGCAGTGGATCCTTTCTCCATCACTCTTCCCTGGCTCCAAAATGACGGAGGGCGACCAGGCCTACCCCGCCTATCCTCCATATAATAGTATGGCAGTCTGGCTCAGGAAGGGAGTGAAAGGGAGCAAGGAATGGCCTGGCTGGGAGGGGTGCTGCATGTGTGGGACAGCTCCACTCCTCCCCCACCTGCCTCACTCATTGTGGCGGCAGTGGTGCAATGTGCTGCGCGGTCTCCTATCCCATTGCAGCAACCAGGTGGGATGGAGTGGGCAGTGTCCTAATTAGGGCTTTTTGGGAGTAGGGCTTATATTAGGCCCGCCCCCACAAATCAGGATAGGTCTTTTTGGGGGGGTGGGGTTTATTTTCGGGAAAACTACTACTACTACTACTACCAACAACAACAACAGACTGACTACAAGGAGCGGCATGACAAAGTAACAACAATAGTGCATTGGAAGGTCTGCAAGAAATATCATTTGCCTGCAAGCAAAAACTGGTGGGACCATAAAATAGAGCAAATCATAGAAAATGAAAAAGTAATAGGCACCTTAGGTGCAATCTCAAAACAACTGGAGCACCACTTGAACAGCATTGGCATTGACAGATTTGCCATCAGTTCAATTGCAGTAAACCTCAGTCAGCTGAACATTCAAATTGACTGGCGCTGTTGGTTGACATGGGTTGCTGCCAGCATCCTAGGTACAACCAGGTACCTCCTTAGAATGTAAGATGTTCTGAGTAGCGCAATTTTTTGTAGCATTGCTGAAGTTATTGCAGAAAGCTGGTTTCTTGAAATATTTTGCAAAGTTTTTGGACATAGTTCTCAGTGCCCCGATGACAATGGGTATCACTGTTACACATTTCATCCATAATCGCGCAGTATCGATGGCCTGATCGCAATACTTTGTAATTTTTTCCAGTTCTTTTTCTTCGACTCTGGCATCTCCTGGTACAATGATATCAATCAGCTGTATGCTTCGGTTCTCTACAACTGCGATATCTGGCATCATCATCATCATTAATTATCATCATCATCATCAATAATAATTTAGTGTGTGGCATAGAAGGCAAGGGAGGCTGCAATGTTGTACACACAGAAGTTCTGGCAGCCAACCATCACTAGTTTGTTTGTTGCACCCGTGCACCACAAGAGGGAGAACTAATTTCATACTGGCTGGCCTGTAGCTTTCTCAAAGGAAGCCGGCTGTCCATCAATTATTTTAACCAACACAAGATTTCATAAATATCTATTGGGCTTGTTTCTTCTCTGAATTAACCTGCATGCACTGCACAACAATAATAACTAAGAGAACATAAACCAAATAGTAAAACTCTGCCTATTTGTATTAAAGGTGTTCCAGTCAAATACTGTCAATATTTAGTTAAGCACATACTAAACATTTGTTCTGGCATATATCTGCCTGCATTGATAATGCAGAAGTATTACAGTGCTAAAGCTAAGTTTTACTTTAACATTATAGACGCCACAGAATATATAAACTTTATAGAACATTCCAGAAGATTCAGAGCAGTTATTCTTTCTCTTCAAAATACCCTATTGTTTCTAAATTTTACTTTCTGAAACAGATTCAAGACCTGTTTCTTATTACATATCATGAAAAATAATAACATTTCAATGATCAGCAATGAAACACATTTGAAGAAACAGAACATGTAGCTGTTACTGTATTT